GTCATTCACATACTAGTTCACAATAAGATTAGGTACTGCATATTTTAAACCTCTCATTTAATATTATTTCATATGGAAACACTTCACCTAAAGACAATGCTCAATGTAAAGATAATAGATTTCAGGCACTAGTGACAGTACTTTAAAGAGATAATATTTCATGGAATATTTCTATGGCACCTTTCAAGTTATGTCCTATGTGCTCTATCGTTATGACCACAGCCCTACATCCACCACAATTCATAAAGCACAGGCATGAGGAAGTCCTCCCTCCATGATGCTCAAGCCTAAGGAGATGGACCACAGGGGTGTGTCATTCTTCAACACTATGCTCTGAGGAGGCAGCATGGATTGTTTATTTTGAGACAATGATAGCTCAAAACATAGAGAGATGTGCTTTGAGGTTTGCTAAGTTGAGCATGATATGACCCAAAAGAAGTAAAATAGGATTTTGTTGTTTATTAAAGGAGCATTATGCACCCGGCAGAAAGGTAAAGTAGCCAGGGTTGTGACAAATACTGAGAAGAGAAAACGAACACATTTGTACAGGAGGCAGAGCTAAGAGATCTGTTTCTTAACTGTGGTCATTGTTCCACACTGGATTTTAACGTCAGCTGCATGCTTAACCCTGCACTAACTGTTTTTTGTCCTCTTGTTTGTACAGAAAAATGGAGCAAATATTCCCACATTTTCCCCTTCGTTATTTGACTTTAATGAAAGACATATGTTTAGGGAAGCTACAGATCCTACAAATTAGCTGGAAGTGAGAAGACCAAGCTCTGGCTTCCTGATAGGAGCGGTGAGTTATGAAGCACATTATGTGTTACCTAGTCCATTCTCCACCCTAATCCAGGATAGAAACCCAACTCTATTTAGATAGAGCTGATCCCAAAGTAACATGGAGATGGTATTAACTGTGGGGTGTGTTTTAGCATCTGGTGAACATGTATTTCCTCCTTCATTTGGCTTTCCAAATGCTCATGCTGTTTCTATTTTCTTTATCTACCGTGAGACTGAAAAGGGACTATATGAGTGTGGACAGAAGGTATATTTGGATATTAATGATTTTGAAATAAGGCAATGATCTTAAGAAATAAATAGCAGCTTTGGTGGGCTAAAAATAATCAGCTAACATATCAGTGAAAGATATTTCAGTTATTTAATAAAATACTTTGCTGTAAAACCCACAGGACAATAATAAATCTATAGATAATAAAATAAAAGTTAGAAATAGGAAAGAACAAAATTGTGTGGAAATTTTTCTCTCCAGGATAATTAAATTCTGTATACATTGAGACATCGTAGACCTGTTTGTGCATGAAAGTGATGTGAATAAATTTGTATTTTGCGTGATTAATTTGGAAGGAGTATGTAGGATGTGTGGAGTGAGTGGAGGTTACGTCAGGGAAATTTACAGGGAAGGTCTTGCACTCCATAAGACGGGAATGACGAGGGCAAGGGTAAGTGTGAAAGAACACTCTGGGAAAGATGGGAGATACATAATAAAAGAAATGAAGAAAGTATTTATCTGTGGAGCAGTGAGGAGGAGGGAATAGTCAAACATGATATGTTGGGAGAGTTTGAGAATTTTAGTTCCGTTGACAGAAGTAAAGTAAGTCAGGAGAGAATACAGTGTGTGGAGAGGTGAACTGTTGGTGAGACATTTATGAAATATTCATTAAGCTTTTGAAAAGCATTTGGACATTGGAGAGAAGTCTAGGGGATAAATGTAGAATTGAGGGTGAGCTACATACAGTTGATGATAATTGTTATATTTAGAAATCATAAGTTCTTCAAGGAAAAAAACAATAGAAGAGTACAAATTGTGAGCACAGAACCTTACAAAATGCTCGCAGTAATGAAGAAGGGGAATTTAGAAAAATTACCCAAGCATGAAGACAAGGAACAATGGATTGGAGGAAAATCAGATCAGAAGCATATGATAAAGTTGAGAGTTTGAAGGAGCAAATAGTTAACATTGTTAAAAATTAAGTAAACACTTTCAGAATTTTAATTGGTATTTGGTAGGACTGTAATTAAAAACAATTTCTGTAACAGCTTTACTGAGGTATAATTTACATACCATAAAATTCACTCTTTTTAAGTGTACCATTCAATACTTTTTAGTAAATTTACAAAGTTGTGCTACCTTTGTTGGACTCTAATTTTTGAACATTTCTGTCATCCCAAAAAGAAACCTTGTATCCATTTGCAGTCACTCTCTATTCCCACCCCCAGCCCGAGGCAACCACTAGTCTACCTTCTGTCTCTGTAGATTTCCTTATCCTGGACCTTTACCCTTTGCTAATGTAAAATAAAAATAGTTCTCCAAGAAAAAAAAAAAAAAATTAAGTAAACAATGAAAATCAAATGCAAGTCTCTGTCTTTGATGACTAGAAAGCCACGAGAGATCTTTAGGAGTACAATTCTATGGATTAGTGGAGGTGAAAACCAAATTTCCATGGCTTGAAGGATGAATGTTATCGGGAAATAAACCCAGCAAGTGGATACCAATCATTTGAGAACTCTGAATGCGAAAGGAAGAAATAATTAGAATGATAAATAGCAAAGATTCCTCTCCCTATATTCAGAGGTCTGAGTATTTTGTGTAATGAGAAAAAAGGAGTCAATTAGGAGCAAGAGAAACCCCAGGATGACAAAGAGAGGGAATAAATGAAGGAGTAAGATCCTGAAAGAGATAGAGAGCGTGATCAAAGGGTAGGTCAATTGTCATCACTAAATAATGGGTATCTGCCCTAATTCAGTCACTAGTATAGGAAAGTTGGATCTTCAACTCCTTAATTTCACCAATAACCCTTTCAGTTGGCCAATGTTATCCACATTTTACGGGTGAGGAATTATGAGACTCAGAGAGGCCAAGTGGCTTTTTTCAGGCCCAGGAAGTGGAAAAGAATGGTTTCCAAGCAGAAACTGTTAGGCTCTGAAGCTCACACTTGCACTAAAGTGTGACACTGTCACTCATTTGTAGTGAGACAAAGGCTGTAGCAGAGAGATGTGCAAGGAGGGTAAGAGGAGCACAATGAGTCATCGGCTCATTGCATGTTCTCCAGGCAGCTTGCACATGCACCAGGGGACAAATGATGTGATGGCGATCTGTTTTGTGTCATTTCCTCTATGGACGGGTCAGGGCTTTGAGCACAGGGAAGTGAAATATTCGCCTTGAAATCCCAGCATCTAGCAAAGTTGGCCCTTTATAGATGTTCACCAAATTAATAGAAAAAGAAATGTCTACTTTCTGCTGCAGATCTGCTATATATTCAACAATGGTTGAAGATTTTTAAACCAAATATTTTTTTGATATTTTAGAATTAAATTTGAATATATTCTTCGAGGCAAGTAGATATTTTCCCAGCTTGACCATGATTGAAGAAAAGCAAAGTGAGGGTAGTGGTGGACGTATCATGACGGAGCAGGACAGGAGGGACTGTTGAAAGGGGAGATCAGGTTTGAGGACACTAGGAAAGAGGTTTCTAAAGCTGTATGTGTCTGAGCCATGAAAGAGATGGGCTTTTCTGGAGTGACTTGTTTTGTTTTGTCCTTTATAAGGTAAGAGAGTTGAAGCAAAGACAGTCTTCATCTTTCTGCTCAGAGATACTAGCCTGACCCTATGGGTTCTGGGATGAGGCAAGCAGCTCTGTTTCTGCCCTCAAGCCCTGTTACTGCCTTTATCTGCTACTTTACCTTATTTTGTGCAGTGTAAGAAAAGGAAGTTAGTGAATAGGCAGGCATGGAGTAAAAATAATAATGAATTAGTCCTATAAAAATTTTTTTAAATGTAAACAGTTTCTGTTTAGTGTTCAAAATTGATATTATATAGTTCTACTGAAAAAGCACTTCCTAGATGAACAAAAATACAAGGGAAACTCCATTCCAATGTACATCTACATGAATTCATACCTTTTTCTCTGCCTTGGATAATGAAGAAGGGTCTGGAAACACTTGCTTCCCTTCCTCTCTTGTATTGAGATAGTCTCAGCATCCGTACTCTCATTTCCTTTTTTTAAACCTATATAGAAAGAGTTGATTGTTAACAGAAGTTGAAAAGAGAAAAATAAAAAGAACAAAGATACAATTTCAATTCCCTACCCATCCTATCCCACTGAGGCTGAAGAGGCCAAAGTCCATCAAAAAGGCAAATGGTCCCCAGGTCCTCAAAGTGACCTATCCATCCCTAAGCCCTCTGATCTATTAAAGGTTGCCTCCAATATTATTTGTGTCTGAATTTGCGGGGGGATGCATGGAAAAATCACATTTGCTACTTTATCTACCACAAGGCAGAGGTCATGTTACTATTAATATTCATACTACTATAGCATTACTACCAGTACAATTCACAAAGTACTTTGCCTGTAAATTACCTACATTTGAGCTTAAAAGTACTTGCGAGTTGTATAATATTATCCTGTTTCATATATAAATGTTTGTCACTAAAGCAAAATCACATAGCTGCTAAATAAAATCAGATTTCAAACCTAGGTTCTTGGACTCCAGATCTTTTCACAAGCTCCTGCTTCCTCTCAATGTTTCCTTTTATAATAGATTTATCCATTACATCATGTGGGTCTAGTTGATATATTTAAGGTAGTGTTTGTAGCTTTCCAACCAAGTTTTCCTTCATTGTTTATCATTTTCCCTACCATTGTCGCCAACCAAGCTCCCCTCACCCTAAACCTGAGGTAAGTTGGTAAAGATGTAGAGCTCCCAAAATTGCACTGTGTTATCTCCAGGCTTTAACTGGGTTTCCCTGAGACCATACCACGTCCTTATGAAGGCACTGACCTGACTCTGATGTAGAGCAGGTATAATTCATATTGATATAAAGCCTGTTATCTTGGCTCCTAAGTGACCTGAAACATCTGCTAAGGCTGGCCGGTTGCAAACAATATGTATTGATAAAAAGTTATTTTTATGATTCTTTGATTCAATAGCTTCTGCTATTTCTGTCTCTGTCTGCAGATTAATAATCATCACATTTTTTAATGGGAACAGATAATCAGACATATGTGGGAGAATTTATTCTCCTTGGCCTCTCCAGTGGCTGGGACACTCAGGTCTCCCTCTTTGTCCTGTTCTTAGTCACATACATGGTGACAGTGCTGGGGAACTTCCTCATTGTCCTTCTGATCAGACTGGACAGCCGACTCCACACTCCCATGTATTTCTTTCTCACCAACCTCTCCCTTGTTGATGTTTCTTATGCCACAAGCATCATTCCTCAGCTTCTGGTGCATCTTCTTGTAGAACATAAAGTAATCCCATATGTGAGCTGTGCAGCCCAGTTATTTTTCTCCCTGGGCTTGGGTGGGATTGAGTTTGTTCTATTGGCGGTGATGGCCTATGATCGCTACGTGGCTGTGTGTGACCCCCTGAGATACTTGGTTATCATGCGTGGAGGGCTCTGTACCAGGTTGGCTATCACATCTTGGGTCAGTGGCTCCATCAACTCTCTCATGCAGACCACCATCACCTTTCATTTGCCCATGTGCACAAACAAATTTGTTGATCACTTGTCCTGTGAACTCCTAGCTGTGGTCAGGCTTGCCTGTGTGGACACCTCCTCCAATGAGGTTGCAATCATGGTTTCCAGCATTGTCTTATTGATGGCACCTTTCTGTCTGGTTCTCTTGTCCTACGTCAAGATCATCTCCACCATCCTAGAGATCCAGTCCACAGAGGGGAGGAAGAAAGCCTTCCACACCTGTGTCTCTCACCTTACAGTTGTTGTCCTATGCTATGGCATGGCTATTTTCACTTATATCCAGCCGCATTCCAGCCCCTCTGCCCTTCAGGAGAAGTTGATCTCTCTCTTCTATGCCATTTTGATGCCCATGTTGAACCCTATGATTTACAGTATAAGGAATAAGGAGGTGAAGGGAGCCTGGCAGAAACTACTAGGACAATTATCTGGATTAACGTCAAAACTGGCAAGTTGATGAATCATGAGCATCACTTAGAGAAAAGAGCTTTGCCTGTGTGTTCTCCCACTCAACTCAGATATGATGGGCATCAACTGTATTGCCCTAGCAACCAAGAAGGAGATGAAGAAACATGTACTGGTGATGTTGGGTAGGAGGCTGAGTAGTTAGGTTGGGGTGTTGAATGTGGGAGTATTTTTATGTCACAGCAGCATGTTCAGAGAAGTTAAGCACTGCTGTAATAGAACTTCACAATTACTCAATCTTTTTTCCTATAGCCTGGGAGTAATGGAAAAAAATAGTATTTATTGTTTTGATTAGTCACATTGTTTATAATCATGGATCTATTCATGGATCTTACATTGGACTGCTGGTTCTTATTCATCCAAATTTTGTACAAGGTTATCGTGTTTCCATTGGGAACAAAATCAATCTCACATTTTATATTCACTTAAAATAATGTGTGGTGTATGTAGCCACATCCAGTAGTTGTGAGTCACTCTTCTGAGAAGAGTGTTGCTATCAAGACTGATTAAAATGATTTTGTGCTGGACCAACGATATGTGGACATAATGTGTTTGAGTGCTGGTGGTAACTCAGTAGAGAAGCCTCAACTAAAGGTCCTGTTTTATACTGATAGGAATATAACTAAAGGTGTTGGTACAAAAGGCTATTACTGGCCAAGGAGAAGCTACATTTCAAGGTCTTTTTGACAGTATATGAACAGTTTGAGAGGAATTTTACTAGATATATAAGGGGTACAATTTAAATGTTAAAACTGTCTGATCTCTGAAAAATTTATAATCTCTTTTTCTGAGACTCAAGAAACAAATAAGCACATAAAATATGAAATAAATTATAGAATGTCAAAGATGTAGTTATCTAAGAAAAAACACATTCCTCAGCCAAAGCCAATGAAAGATGTATTTTGGGAATCAGGATAGTTCAGTCAGCTGTGCAGGTATTGCCCTCTAGTCACCATATTGAGTCTCCTCCCATCGCTCCTTCCCCACACACAACAGATTCCTAGTTGATCTTGGTAAATCTACTGAGGTGGACTAGTCTGAGTGTGGACTGCACCTCTGAGAACAAGTCTCATTAAGTGATGCAAAGGAGGAAGAAGAAATAATGGTACACGGATGAGGAAGGGGACCAAGGAGAAAGAATGTGATAGTATTTTGTCTTCTCACTCCCTTGAAGAAGACTCAAAGTTCTTTCTTCCTGTTGTCTCTTCCTTAAGTCAGTTAATTTGCAGTTCTTCCATTTGTTAAATATTATCACAGAATCTCAGCATTCAAACAGTGTTGAAGGTTCATATAATCCAAAGCCCATTTGACATTTTAAATATACCTAAAAGTAATCAATTTTAAATTTTGTGATATAGGCAGGCAACAGAAAAGATGTAAGTACTAGTAGACTAAATTTCTCTTGGTGTAAATTCAAGAAATATTAATAGAGTGTCTACCTGTGTCAGTAACATTGAATGGTTCTTGAGACACTATAGTCCTGTATGATACAATCCTGACAAGGATGTGACTGCATAGCAGGGACAGACGATGAAGTATTTAAAATGCTTTATCATAAGTGTCACAAATAGAGTAAGCCTTTGGGTTGATTGCAGAAGTCTTCCTGTATGAAAGGACCAGAAAAGGTCCAGGTGGAGACCAGGAAAGTGAGAACAAGTGATCCAGGTGACAATCAACTTGTGAAATGTGGTGAACTGGGAGAGAGCATGAGAGTCCAAAACTGTCCTGGAGCCACACATGCAGAGCAGAGAAGACTGCAGAAGTAGTGAGATGAAGTGGTGGTAGACAGGGGCCAGATCTTGGAGGGCATTGAAAGCCAAATTATTTTGAACTTTATCCTGAGAGCAACAGGGAGCCAGTAAAGATTTTTAAGCAGGAGCATGGCTTGATAAAGTTTACGTTTTTGAATTATCACTCTGGCAAATGAGTCAGGCAACCAAGTAAGGGGCTTCCCCAGGAATACTACTGAGACCTTTGGGGAATCTGAACTGAGATGGTGGCAATGGGCAAAGAGAAGAGTTGTGTCAAGTCACATCATTTGAAAGAGATTTCAGAGGAACACTTCATCTTCTTCCAGATTGGAATTCCCTTGTGGACCCCATTCCTCCTCTAAAATGTCATAATCCTATCTGAATATTCCATAAATTGTGGAGTAACCATCAAAATTTATCACCATGAGCACACCTTATCTAAAAGGGTAGGAGAAAGAGATGAAAGTGGAAGGAAATTAGTCAACAATACAAATATGTTACAGGAAACTTTGAGGAGGAGCATGTGTGAAGATTCTGTATCCTCATTTCTGTGACTGGTCACGTGGTCACAGTGCCTGTGACTTTTCTTCACGCTCATCCCATGATCCCTTTGCCCTCGCCAGCCCCTCAGCTTGTTTGAGTTCACCTGAAGGGTTATCCAAATCTTCCTTTCTCAGGAAGCAGAAATGTTGGGGGTAGGCTTTAAGTATATAGAAACGGACTAGTGTAACCTTATATTCCATGTGTTAAATTTTTGGTTTTATTTTTTTCATTTCATAGGTCTTTTTTTTTGAGGATGCATTTTCTCGGTACTTGGACTCAGTACTTTACTCATTACTTGGACCGCTGTGAGATGACAGGCATTCCTAATTAGTAGCTGCTTCTGAAAGACATTCCCAATGTAAGGGAGCAAAGTACTGTTGATGCAGGAGTGAAATAAGATGATATTCTAAACAATAAGGCCGTTAAATATAACTTTTGAAATTTGGACACTGATAAATATTTGAGAATAAAATCTTGTTTGTTAGTTAATAATCGTAAAAACATCACTGAGGTTTTCAGTAAAAAAAAATTTCCTAACACACATAGAAATTACTGTTTTTTTGCTCGAATAAGAATCCAAATAAATTCCATACATTGCAATTGGCTACTATGTCTCTGAAGACTGATTTAATCTATAGGTTCACCTTCAGGTTCCTTTCTTTCTCCTTGGAGTTATTCGTTGACTAAAACAGGATTGTTTGTCCCAGTTGGACTTCCATGCAGTCTGGATTTTTTATGGCATCCTGGGTGTGTAGTTTTGCGTGTTCCATTGACCCTGTATCTCCTGTTAAATCTAGAGGCTTGATCAGATTTTTCTTTTTTTCTGGCAAAAGCATTTTCTAGACGATGGCATTTACTTTTATCAAGAGGTATGCCATGTTTGGTTTCTCTTTTCTAGGATTTATTGCAGTTATTACACTGCCAAGATCAGGGTTTCTCTATAGCAGCAAGTGTCCATTGATGTATCGGAGTGGGTAATTCTTTATGGCAGGGGCTATTCTGTGCATTGTAGGATATTTTACAATATTGACCTCTACCCACTAGATGGCGGTTGCACCCCCTTCCCGCCATCTGCCAGTTTTGTTAACCATAAAACTCTCCAGACATTACCCAATGTCCCCTGGGAGTGGAAAATCACCCCTGGGAGAAAACTAATGACCTGGTTCCTTTAATTTATTAGGAGTTTCAAAGAGATGATGTTTTAGCATCCCTTTCTCTGTATTATCTGGAATACATTTATAAATAGAAACTTCCTTCTCACCACTATTTCATCTCTCTGAGTTAAAGTTAATATAGCAAAGGCAGAATACATTTTTGACTTTTTCTCTTTCTTTATCACTTTTTTAATACAACAAACAGGTTTCTTTTTTCTTTGTCATTAACTCATCAATGTAAACTTCTTTGCTGTGTTTTAATTGATTGTAGTTATTATCGTTATTGATGTTTAAATTGTACCATATTTACTGAGTAAGAGCTTATTTTAATTTCCTATTGCTGCTGTAACAAATCACCATAAATTTTGTGGCTTAAAACATCAAAAAATTATCTTGCAGTTCTGGAAGCCAGAAGTCTGAAATGGGTTTAACTAGCTCAAAAATCTAGTTGTCCACAAGACTGCATTCCTGTCTGGAGGGCTAAGGAAGAATTGGATTTCTTGCTTTTCCCAGTTTCCTGAGGCAGCCTCCATTCCTTGGCTCAGGACCCCTTCTTCTACCTTCAAGGCCAGCAGCACAGCATCTTCAAACCTCTCTCTGCTTCTCTGCTTCCATCATCACATCACTTCTGACTCGGATCCTCTCACCTTGCTCTTACAAAGACACAATCACAATGATTATGTACATCGGGATCACACAGATTATCCACAATAATCTCCCCATTTTAAGATCTTTAGTATAAATACATCTGCAAGTTCCTTTTAACATGTAAGGCAGCATATTCACAGGTTCTAGAGATTAGAACACGGACATCTTTAGGGAGTCATTACTCTGACTACCAAAGAGCCTATTCAAATTGGCTACTTAGTTTTTTTCCACATGACCCTAGTAATCTTGAATACTCCTTAATTTCTGATGTGAATCGATATCACAGTCCTGTCTTTTACTTTTCCTGCCTTATAACTGGCATTATTTCTCCAAGAAGCACTGGTTCCTTTTGGAGGAAAACAATATTCAGAAACCACAATCTGAGTACTGTATTCTACTGGAGGTTTAGGGTTGGTTCTGTTGTTGGCAAGATAGATAGTCAGTAGTGGTAGTAATTGAATTAGTCTTGGCTAGATGGAGTCCAAGTTGTTGAACCCAAAGACAGTCATCATCTTTGCCATCATGACTACAGGTATGCTTGGGAAGTGAGGCTGACTGACTCCTAAAGTATGCCAGTATTCTTGTCCACATGAAAACTGAGAACCTCCTTTGTCATGAGAAATCACATGGAACACACATGAATTTACTATTTCTCCCCTAAAGCTGTGTGTCCCCAGTCCTCTAAACTTTATCTTCTACATCCAGGCAAAAGATTAGGCATGGCCTTTAAATCAGTGTGTATCCTGGCTTCAGATTATCTTCCTTCCAGGCAAAGTGATGGTGAAAGGTGCTGTTTAAAATTCTCCCCTTTAGAAGGAATGCTTTCTCCATGGTCTTTCAGGGTCACATATTTTCAGTTAAATAGTCATAGGGATTAGGTAGGAGGCCATATTGTG